CCAAATAATAATAAAAATAGTAATCCACAGAATAATAATAATAATATTGTTTCGTTAACCCACTTTTTATCCGAGTGTAAGACACACAAAGTTTCTTTTGGCGTCGTGGATACATCCAACAACAATAATGAAAATGAACCAAATCATAAAAAAGATAAAATGACGGAACGGAATCGAAAAAGAAAGGAATTCGTACAGTTTTGGAATGAAAATATTGAAAATGCCGTTTATTGCTGTTTCTTTTTAGAATCCAATGACGATACAAATAACAAACATCGATATAATTTTAAAAGTAGAGATTTTAGTTTTATCGCAGCGCACGGTTTGTCGGACCATCGACTACAGTGTCCGCTAGCGGCGATACAGAAATCTATTTCCTTATTGACTATCCATCCACCCGATAATAATAATAATAATAATAATAATGAAAATAAGAATGAAAATGATGCGGAGGCACGCACAATGAGTAGTCGAGATACCTTTGTGGTGTTACAATACATTTCACGGGAGTTAAAACGAATCGACCGTGAACTTCATCAAAATAATCATCATAATAAAACGGAATATGCGTCGTATGATATTGAGAAATGTAAAATTGGTTTAGCGAATCTGACGTTGCAGCGCATTACCTTTTTTTTCACCGCTACCAATCAAAATAATAATAATAATACGAAAGATAGGGATCCTCATGGTGCTTTTCTTGGTTCCGCGGAGGATGCATTGGCGGCGCTGGAAACGTTATTAAATATAAATGTAGAGTCCTACGCGGACCCCAACCAGTGGGAGTTATTCCTAAAACACTCCAACAATCATAATAATCAGAATGTGACGGAAGAAACCGAAAAAACAAGAATGCTCGTCGCGCACTTGATGACGTGCATCATGCAGCACAAGGTAGAGTTACGGTTTACCTCGCTGGTGCAAGCCTTTTCCCTCACGCGCATCTATCTGTCCATATTGTACCCTTATCCACAACTCGTTCAACAGAAGTCGCTTCTCTTGCGGTGGTCGTGGTCCCTGGCGAGGGCGCTGTATGTACGGGATAAGTATTTTGTGAATTCGTATCATTTTGTGAAGATTATAAACGCCCTCGCGCGCTTTCCGGCCTACACGCTAGCGCCATCCAGAGTGGGCACCAATCCTCATTATCACAATAAGAATAAGAATGAAAATAACGGGGTAGAGGAGGAAATAAGAGAGTTTCAACGATCCATGCAACAGAGGGAACACCAGGAAATGCATTCCAATAATACTACTAATAACAATAATAATAATAATGGCATAACCGCGGAAGAGTTTTGGGACTTTTTAGTCTCCAAAGCGATCATTTTTATTTTACAAAATAGACAAGATGAAACTTTTATTCGCAATATTTGTGTGCCACTTTATATTTGCATCGAAGAACGACGAGGACAGTTTTTTAATCATCATGAAAATGAAAAAGTATCCGAACAGATATTAAAACCGTTGGCCCTAGAGTGTGGTACACTGTATGATATGATACTGATTGAATACAAGAAACAAAAATCGAATAAATCCACTGGTGGTGGTGGTCGTGGGCGAGAGAGGGGGAACCGTCCAGCACGACAGTACGGTAACAGGCCACAGCGACACTATCCTCATCATAATAATCGTAATGATCGTCGAAATAAAAAATAGTGAGAGCAGACATCGTTTGTCTCCTCCATAGAGGGAGGAATGATGATCTGTGTTTACAGTTGTAAAATAATACTTTTTTTTTTTTTTTTTTTTTTGTGGCTTTCACAAATCGTTTTCTTTCTTTCTTTCATTGTGTCAATATTTGATGTAAAATAACGAGTGTTTGTTGGATTCTATTTCATTTTCTTTTTTTTTTTTCTCCAATAGTGTAAAAAAAGAAAATAAGTATTACATACATATGCTACGTCGTTCCCTTTCCTCTAGTCTCACCCCGGTGCGGTCCAGTGCCCTCACCACCACTCGTCCCTTCCACAGTGCGGTCGGCATCGTCGGTAGTCTCATCATGTGCGGTGCCTGCATGCTCTGCTTCGGTAGCTGGGCGAACAACCTCATGAACGTGAAGACCTACGGCCGCTGGCGTTTCCGCAACACCATCGATGATGTCATTATGGTGAGTGATTTCAGGGGTGCCCGCTACTTCGGTGCGTTTATTGGATTTTTGTTTTGGTGCTTCGTGGTAGGGCCGCAGAAGTATAGGTACAACAGCTCCCTGGATCAGGTACCAGGCGTGACGCGGTTTGGGCCATTCTAAAAAAAAAAACAAAAAATAAACACCAAAAAATTGCTAGAAACAGATTAGTATTGTAGTAGTTAGCAAAAAAAAAAAAAAAAACTAAAAGCCGTAATGGCTTTGCTTTTTTTTAGTAGTTTAGTATATGTATTTGTATACCTCCCAAACAAAACAGCAAAAAGCAACTTTTTCTTTTTATTTCGTTTTTAGTTGATCTGTGTAAAGCTTTGATTGAATACACTTCACTCTTCCTCCATTCTTTTCCAGTAATACACCAAATAAGAATAATAACGAAAAATAAATGTCCGCTAGTAAACCAGGCCCCAAGCCCTCCGCCGGCGGCTCCAACGTCAGCGCCCCCACCGAGGAGGAGATCACCCGCCAGCGTGTCAACTATCAAATCAACAGCCTACGCCTCCAGCCCGTCAGCTCTCTCCCCATGAATCTCTTCCTCATGTGGATGGTCGGCAATGACGTGTCCATGTTCTCCATCATGTTTGTGGGGATGGCCGTCGTGAACCCCATTTCCAGCATTCTTAGCGTGAACAAGACGTTCGCGGGGTTTGAGGAGGAGGCGGCGAAGGATAAACAAATTATGAGTTCGCTAAAACTTGGCAAGTTGATTTATGTGGGATGCTGTATAGTGGGGTTCCTCGTCGCGCTGCTCAAGCTGACGTGGATGGGTTTGGTGCCCATCTTGTCGATGGACTGGATGTCTACGACCGTCCCCGCTTATAAGGAACGCTCCTTCGGTGTTGTCGTGTGAGGAAAAAAGTGCTGTTTTTCTTTCTCTAAAAAAAAAAAAAATGAACTAACGACGATACTATTAATAACTCTAAAAGAAACTGTAACAAACAATGTACATCATGATGTGGGTGATCTTTTCATGTTTGTGCCGTTAAACATGTTTTCCGACCCCATCGGATAGTCCAATACCTTCTTTTTTACTCTCTTTCCTCTCTATTTCAGAAAACCGTTTCACACACGAAAAAAGAAGAAATAAATGTTCACCCGCAGTATCCTCCGCCGTACCTTCCGCTGTTCCCTTCCATGCTACTGCCCTGTCGTGGACCAGGAGGCCGTCCGCCTCAAACTAAAAACCAAGGACCTCTCGCTGCAGGTACCCTCCAAGGATGGTCTCGTGCGCTTTACCTATGTACAGAATCGACAGTCCTTAGCAGAGACCATTGTGCGCCATGGGCTGTGGCCGTTCCAATCGGACTCTCCCCATCAAAAGAGTGTCGTGGAGACGTGGTATTCCAACCTACACCTCGTCGGTAGTATTCTATCCTTCATCAACCTCCAGGCCGCCCCGCTAGAGGGGGAACAGCGGGTCGAGCTGCGGTACGCCAGGGAAGATATTTACAATCCACAGGCGACGGAGCTGGAACACTTTTTTTTCATGCAGTGTGAGGCGCTAGGACTAGGGGAGTGCCGTGCCCGGGTGCGGTGCGGAGAAACGGACCTCATGAACTACTTGGAGGAGGGTGCTTGCATCTCCAAGAACACGTTAGATATCCTACTACAACACACCCAATCCTTGAAGGTGGATCAGGTCTTGTATAATCAAAAAAAGAAGTTTACCTCGCTGGTGTCAAGGAGTTGTGGGGAGCTCATCCAGTCGTCCTCTGCCGTGGAAAGTGGGAACCACCTCTCGCTGGACCTCTTTCCTTCTGCGGAGGCATGCGAGGCCGCCTTCGCCACTGGGGACCCACAACACAAAAACGCCACCGCGCAAGAGATGGAAAAACAACTCAAAATGTATTACAACTACTTTTACAATAATATAGCACTGCTAGGCTACGGCAGTCTGTACGCCTCGGACGGGGTTTCCTCCGTGCTGTGGTGCCCAACGGCGATTGCCCAAACGCGGAAAGAGTGGTCGGCCGACACGCTGACGGCGGAGGCCCTAAAAGAGGCGTGTATCCCCTATTCCTTCGGTCTCCGCGTCACTCCCATGGCGGCAGGGGCACAGAAAGAAAAGGAGGTACGACAGATACAAGTGGCCCTCACGCAGGCCACCGCCCAGCTGCTCTACAGTCCACAGCCCTCCCGCTCTCCGCTGTACCCCCTGCTAGGGGAAGACACCGTGTCCCATGCCTCCCTCTGTCAGACGGTGCTGTCTCTGGTGAGTGGAGACTACGAGGGCGCGCTGGCGGCCGCCATGAAGGCCCGCACCGTCGTCGAGGTGGATTTGGAGTCGGTCCGTCGTCAGATCCACCGGGTCCGGGTCGCGTTAGGGATCGATGCCATCGTGCTGCCCCTCGACGGGGCGTCCGCCGCCCGCACCGGTATCGACTTCTTCTGCCGCTGCACTCGTCAGGAGATACTGAACAGCTTGATTACCGCCCCCCAAGCGGTGATTGAGGACCTGCGGAAGGCACACGAGGCGGTGGCGGCGGGGACGGCGCAGGAGGAGGGTTTGGTGTGCGCGAGCTGCAAGAAACGACACATTATACGCACGGAGGACTTTGCCAAGTTGGATGAAGTACGGAAGGCAGCCACCGCGGAGGAGTCCAACCCAAAGGAGAAGGAATCCTAAAAAAAAAGAAAAGTATTCTTTATCCTCTGTTGCCACTATTATCGAGAGAACGGTCGTGCGCTTGCTCCTTTTGTTTATTCTATTCACATTTTTTTTTTTTAAACTATATTCTTCGACAAGATATTAGTTTTATTTTACGTTTTCACTCATTTCTGTTTTCTCTACGAATCCGTTTCGTTTTACCTTCTTCCTCCATTTTCCCTTTTCTTCGTTGCTTCTAGTTCTTCTTAAACTTGACCTGTCTGGCACCCTGTCTATATTTTCTCAGTGACGGGTGTGCCCGAAAGTTCGAGTGAGATTTGAGAAATGCAAAGTTTTTTGTGAATTCGACGAGAAGATGACAACCTTTCGTGCGTGATACAACCGCTGAATGCACACCTAGTCAAAACTCAACAGGTCTGACGAGTCGAAGTAACATGGCATTATTTTTACTATTATTCTTATCACGTAAAGCGTTCATTGAGACCAACCTGCTTACTTGTAGCGCGGCTGGAGCATCAAAACGCTGAGAGTATCAACGAATTGCTTGCTTTTTTAATTTCCGTATATGGTGAAATTATATATATATATATGTTTCCTGTCAGTCCGAAACTAAATGAGGACATAAAACAACTCAGCTCACACTGAACCGTAGTTTCTGTAGTTTCCCCTAATCCTTTGGGTGTATTTCCTCTATTTTCTTATTCTCCCTGCATGATGTATAATTCTATGTTGGTCCAAACAGTTTGATTGGCATAATAATGATACTAACGCATATAATCACCTTTCGGCTGACTTATCGTCTACTGCTTCTACGTTTGTTTCTATTTCTGCTTTTTTTTTTTTTTTTTTGTTGTTGTTTATTTGCTTTGCTGTGTTAGTCCGTTACGTCCTCCCTTCTTGGATAGGGATAGGTATGTGGACGCTGGCCTTCACTTTTGAACAAACGTATTTACATGAAACATTTTGGTTTTTGGAAAATGGTTGTTTACTGTCGTAAATAAACAGACAAACTGGCGTTGTACTTTCTCACCCTCTTTCTCTTTTTATAGTCCTCAGAAAGTCTATCGATTTTGTTTTTTATCGTATCATCATTAACGTTTACCTTTAGAAAAAAAAAAAAAATACACGCAAATGACAACCAATTTGCTTCTAGTATCGCTGACAGTCTTGGTAGTCCTCCTCACGTCTGGTGTGTTCGTGGTAGACGCGGCGGGAAAAGACTGCACCACCGCTGTGAAGTGCTCGCCGTGGGGGAGCACATCGTGTCTACGCAAGAACCCAATGGACCTCCGCTTCATGCTCGACGTGTCCCCCGAAAACAACTACAAGTACGGCGATGCCACGTACACCTACGCCACGTACGGCTTCTGCCCCAACGTGGATGAGCTCCAGGCGTTTAGTCTAAACGGCGCCGGTTTGCTGGCGGCGGGGAGGACGGTGAGCGGCAAGTACTACTTGGGAGACAATGTGTCCCGTCGCTTCTTGCGGGTGTACGGGTTCGGCAACTTGGACTCGCCGCTGTTCCCCTCCGACACAAACTCCTCTGCGGCGGTGTTGGTGGCGGTGAACGGTAGCACCCTCTGTGGTGACCTGCAGTCCGTCGCGGTGGTCGACACCCTAATTCTAGAAGTAGGACTGTACCGTGGACATTTCAATTATTTTGATGTCTCCACCTCCAAAACGGTGCAGATCAACAACCCTGACTTTGACATTATCAAGTGCTACAGCACGACCTCGTCGGTGGCCCCCTCGTCGGACTCCTCCGGCTCCTCTTCCTCCTCCTCCGGCGAGGCGGCCCCCAAGACCAACTACTGCGACGAGTACTTGTACACGACGGAGGTGACGACCGTGACGGCCCCGGCCAAGACGGGTTTCGTCGCCACGTGCTCCTACAATGACAAGCTAGGCGAGGACGAGTGCATGTTCGACTCCGACGACACGCACGTCTGCGTGGGGGATGGGGATGGAAAGAAGAATTGTGCCAAGTGCATCTACAGCGCCAACGCGGCGGATCTGTTCAACTATCCGATTCAAATCTGGACCTCCTACTTTGGCTCCGATCGCAAGAAACACACGTTGCTGAGCGGTGGGAGTAACCCCATGTATTACCAGAACTTTGCCAAGAAGGATATGCTGAATAACATTGCGACGCAGCTCAATGAAACGTGGACGAGCTCCAACAATGATTCTATTTTTGATAAGCCTAGTTGGTGGCCATGGTAGTCGTGCGGATCGTCCCTGTATACATTGCTGATTTTTTTTGCCATATATATCTTTATACGAAATAACGAACAGTACACTATAATTAGAATGCGTGAGTAGCAGGGTCATGGGTTCGGTTGTGTTTGATTCTTATTCTTCCCTCTTTCTTTTATCCAGAATTATTTTTTTTTTTCCTTTCTCTCCCTTTTCTTTGTAGAAGTACCAATTCGTACCTCACTAACATCACCGATGTGGAAACACAGTGGTGTTGACGGATTTTGAGGCGAGGCTTACAGAAGAAGAAAACATGTTGAAGATTCCCCTTTATATATTTTTTTTTTTTTATGAATTCGACGAGAAGATGACAACCTTTCGTGCGTGATACAACCGCTGAATGCACACCTAGTCAAAACTCAACAGGTCTGACGAGTCGAAGTAACATGGCATTATTTTTATTATTATTATCACGTAAAGCGTTCATTGAGACCAACCTGCTTACTTGTAGCGCGGCTGGAGCATCAAAACGCTGAGAGTATCAACGAATTGCTTGCTTTTATTTTCCTAATTTCCGTATTTTCCCTACATGGTGAAATTATATATATATATATGTTTCCTGTCAGTCCGAAACTAAATGAGGACATAAAACAACTCAGCTCACACTGAACCGTAGTTTCTGTAGTTTCCCCTAATCCTTTGGGTGTATTTCCTCTATTCGTATTCTCCCTGCATGATGTATAATTCTATGTTGGTCCAAACAGTTTGATTGGCATAATAATGATACTAACGCATATAATCACCTTTCGGCTGACTTATCGTCCACTGCTTCTACGTTTGTTTCTATTTCTGCTTTTTTTTTTTTTGTTGTTGTTGTTGTTTATTTGCTTTGCTGTGTTAGTCCGTTACGTCCTCCTTTCTTGGATAGGGATAGGTATGTGGGCGCTGGCCTTCACTTTTGAACAAACGTATTTACATGAAACATTTTGGTTTTTGGAAAATGGTTGTTTACTGTCGTAAATAAACAGACAAACTGGCGTTGTACTTTCTCACCCTCTTTCTCTTTTTATATTCCTCAGAAAGTCTATCGATTTTGTTTTTTATTGTATCATCATTAACGTTTACCTTTAGAAAAAAAAAAAAATACACGCAAATGACAACCAATTTGCTTCTAGTATCGCTGACAGTCTTGGTAGTCCTCCTCACGTCTGGTGTGTTCGTGGCAGACGCGGCGGGAAAAGACTGCACCACCGCTAGGAAGTGCTCGCCGTGGGGGAACGCATCGTGTCTACGCAAGAACCCAATGGACCTCCGCTTCATGCTCGACGTGTCCCCCGAAAACAACTACAAGTACGGCGATGCCACGTACACCTACGCCACGTACGGCTTCTGCCCCAACGTGGATGAGCTCCAGGCGTTTAGTCTAAACGGCGCCGGTTTGCTGGCGGCGGGGAGGACGGTGAGCGGCAAGTACTACTTGGGAGACAATGTGTCCCGTCGCTTCTTGCGGGTGTACGGGTTCGGCAACTTGGACTCGCCGCTGTTCCCCTCCGACACAAACTCCTCTGCGGCGGTGTTGGTGGCGGTGAACGGTAGCACCCTCTGTGGTGACCTGCAGTCCGTCGCGGTGGTCGACACCCTAATTCTAGAAGTAGGACTGTACCGTGGACATTTCAATTATTTTGATGTCTCCACCTCCAAAACGGTGCAGATCAACAACCCTGACTTTGACATTATCAAGTGCTACAGCACGACCTCGTCGGTGGCCCCCTCGTCGGACTCCTCCGGCTCCTCTTCCTCCTCCTCCGGCGAGGCGGCCCCCAAGACCAACTACTGCGACGAGTACTTGTACACGACGGAGGTGACGACCGTGACGGCCCCGGCCAAGACGGGTTTCGTCGCCACGTGCTCCTACAATGACAAGCTAGGCGAGGACGAGTGCATGTTCGACTCCGACGACACGCACGTCTGCGTGGGGGATGGGGATGGAAAGAAGAATTGTGCCAAGTGCATCTACAGCGCCAACGCGGCGGATCTGTTCAACTATCCGATTCAAATCTGGACCTCCTACTTTGGCTCCGATCGCAAGAAACACACGTTGCTGAGCGGTGGGAGTAACCCCATGTATTACCAGAACTTTGCCAAGAAGGATATGCTGAATAACATTGCGACGCAGCTCAATGAAACGTGGACGAGCTCCAACAATGATTCTATTTTTGATAAGCCTAGTTGGTGGCCATGGTAGTCGTGCGGATCGTCCCTGTATACATTGCTGATTTTTTTTGCCATATATATCTTTATACGAAATAACGAACAGTACACTATAATTAGAATGCGTGAGTAGCAGGGTCATGGGTTTCGTGTGCTCGGTTGTGTTTGATTCTTATTCTTCCCTCTTTCTTTTATCCAGAATTATTTTTTTTTTTCTTTCTCTCCCTTTTCTTTGTAGAAGTACCAATTCGTACCTCACTAACATCACCGATGTGGAAACACAGTGGTGTTGACGTATTTTGAGGCGAGGCTTACAGAAGAAGAAAATATGTTGAAGATTCCCTTTTACATTGTTTTTTTTATGAATTCGACGAGAAGATGACAACCTTTCGTGCGTGATACAACCGCTGAATGCACACCTAGTCAAAACTCAACAGGTCTGACGAGTCGAAGTAACATGGCATTATTTTTACTATTATTCTTATCACGTAAAGCGTTCATTGAGACCAACCTGCTTACTTGTAGCGCGGCTGGAGCATCAAAACGCTGAGAGTCTCAACGAACTGCTTGTTTTTTTTATTTTCCCTACATGATGAAATTATATATATAGTTTCCTGTCAGTCCGAAACCAAATGAGGACATAAAACAACTCAGCTCACACTGAAAAGAAATATAAGTACCGTATCTGTAACTAACACTTTACTATCTTAACAGCGTTTCCGATTTCCCGGTTCGTCTTTTTTTATTTTCCATACATGATGAAATTTTATATATGTTTCCTGTCAGTCCGAAACCAAATGAGGACATAAAACAACTCAGCTCACACTGAACCGTAATTTCTGTAGTTTCCCCTAATCCTTTGGGTGTATTTCCTCTATTTTCCTATTCTCCCTGCATGATGTACAATTC